CCCCAAAACCCCAAAACCCCAAAACCCCAAAACCCCACCAATAAGAATTATTTAAGAAATAAATATTCTAAAGTGTTGAATTTCTTTTTTATTTCTTTCAATCAGTTATTAGAATTTAAAATGGAAGAAATTATTCAATAGCCCCTGTATGAATTATCTTTAGCCTTCAAATAAAAACTTAACTTTTTATAGGCCAGTCGTTACTCCAGAGTTTCTACACAAATATGAGGGTACTATAACAGTTGTAGTCGACTCAGTAGACAAAATTATTGCAAGAGCTTAGAGCGCAATATACATATAGGACATTTTTGAAGAAGCTGATTAATATGCCGCAGATTTAATGATTGTTAACAATATGTCTGAGATCCTTAGCAAAACCCAGCTATTTTAGCATGACTTTGAGGATCAAATTACCACTGAGAAGAGTTACCTTGAAGAGCCAAATGGTCCTGGCTTGGATGTCTACGCCACCTTTCATCTCAAGGTTATAAAGCAGACTATACTTTCAAGTAAGAATTTTATTTAAAATCTACGATTTATCTAATGGATGTAAATTAGAGTACAATATATCTGATAGTCCCTAAACTATTGCATAGTAGCAATAATATATCTTTAAGGGACCCTCCTCGATTTACTCAATGCAAAGAAAAATGTAACAAAAGAGTGTCAAGCATCTTAGTGTATTTTCAATTTTTATTCATTAACATTTTTAGGATCGCGGAGAGGATATATTACCTAAACCACTGATTAATAACAAGATTCAAGAAGATGATAGAATGATATTAAACTTCAGAAGAAAAAAAGAGCGTGAAGATAAGCTGAAAGAAGAAGAAAAATTGAAATAAGATGCATTAGAGCAAAGAATGAAGGATCTAGATTAAAAGGGAAATGCTTTGGATGATAAAAATTTGGCTAAGAAACAAATTACTTATGATTCAAAGGGGGATGTCATTTTTATTAAAAATGTAAGGGCTGATGGTCTGCCTAATCCACTTCTTAATCCTCCATTCAAGATTAAATCACAAAAGAAAGATAGAGAGAGGGAGACTACAAGAAGCGAGTTTATGGAAACCCACTCTTCGATGAAAACAAATGAGGATGGAACTAAGAAAAAACCAAAAATATAGCCACTCTTACTAGCTTCCATTGAAATCCCACTAATTAAAAATGAAATTACACCGATGGGATCTGTTTTTAATGAAACTGAGCCATAGGATGGTATTAAAATCACTGAGGGAAATAAATTAAAAGTTGGAGCTATGAACTTAAGTAAAAGAGAAAATGGCCAGATGACACTAGACGAGTATAGATAATAAAAAGAGCAATCAATAGTTTAAAACGAAATTGAAATTCAGAGAATGAGTCAAATGTAAAAAAGGAGTACCCCTACAATGAAAATTATTGAATAGGATTAAAGACTAGAAGAGGAAAATGAGAATAAGATTAAACAAATTTCCATGTCAAACTTCAATGTACCACCACTTAATCTAAATAATCAAAGCCAAATGGCTTAGACTTTTTATATGAATAATTCTAAGATTCTCGACATGTCTACTTAGAACTTTTACTAGAGTTAATCATAAATTCAAAGTGGTAGGATATCATAGGATAGAGTAATCAGGAAAAAAGAAAGCATTGCTGAACTCATGATCGATCTAAAGAGAGTATAAAGCAACATAGACTTTGAATTGCATGAATAAAGTTCATATATTGATAAGTTTACGGATGTGCTTAGATAACCAAAGAAAGTTTAGTTCTAGCCAGCTTCAACTCAATAGAATTATCATTTTGATAGTAATTTATCATCAGCTCGTAATTCAAGCATGAAGAAGTATGAAAACTCCAATAGTGTTAGACTACTTCCACTACTATCACATAGAACAGGTAATCAATCAACGAACAATCAAGAGACTAGAGACTAAGTTAGAAAGCTCATGAAGAAAAATAATGAAATCATGAATAATAATAATTGGGGAGAGAATCCTGGGGAAATTACTAAGCCACCAAGAAACATTGAGAAAAAACCGAAGGCAATTGAACTTAAAAAATCTAATAGCTAACTTTTGTTGACTGTAAGAAGAAAGGAAAGAAACTTCATAGATTCTGTAAAGGAAAAGAATCACTTGCCGCCACCTCCTTTAGGAAAATCTCTTGGACACGGTATAAGTAATCTGCCAAGCATTACTAGTTATTAATAATAGCCAATTAAGTTCTTATGAAATTAATCATTTAACTATTAGTAAATAATATTTATTATCAAGCATTTATCAATAGAAATTCTATTCATTTTCATTCAGATTTCATTTAAGTAGAGTACTATGATTGTTTACTCACTGAGATATAATCTGTGATGAGAGTCTCATTAGACTGCTCTTATATTAGATTAAGGCGTTAATCCCAACTATCCAAAGCCTTAGTTCCTCGTAAGACATAGCCAGGATTTGCATTCTTTCAAGATTACCACCGATATTTACTATCAAATTGTATTCATATCTCTTTCCCTAATTCATGATCACTCCTTACTTTCCTGGTGATTAGTTCTTCTCTTGCCTTATTTAATCTAGAGTAGATTGCGGTAGCTCAGGTTTTAAAATATTCTCAATCATAAGTATTTCTTTTTCTCCGTTAAAGTTGACCATAAACATTCTCATAAGTGAAAAATCGATGTAGAACTGTTTAAGCACAAACTAGCCATCTCTTTAAGTTAAGAACTGAGCTCCTTCTACTAAGGGCTTTATACTTTCAAAGAACTAAATGTCTTTCTAGCTTTACTAGCACTTTGATAGATCAACTACTCCTGATTAGATTGCTCTTCCAGTATTGTTAACATTTACATGCAGCCTCATTTTAGTTTAAACAGGCTTTTGCTAAGTTTAGAATCCGTCTTTGCTATTATTTCTAGAATTAGTACTAGTTTTAGTTGTTGTTTGAATTTTAGGTTTGTGAGATGATCCTCTTGGAGTCTGCTCAATATTGGTCTGTGAGGTTAAATATTATTTAGATTATGGAACAGCAGGTGGTCTTGTCTAGCCATTAATGGTTTAAATAGTTTACAGGATGCTTTAGTTGCTTATCTGGGACACATTAGTGGCCTGGCTATATTTCCTCATGTTAAAACTTGACTTTGAATCATTTAAGTTTGATAGACTATTTGGAGTTATGTTCTCTTTAAATGATCCGTATTAAGCCATTATTACTGTTCGACTTTATTGCTTACAATCTAGACTGGTGTTGCTTTGTCTCAGGGCAACTCTTACATTTCTATTGTTATGTTGATTTTGATTATTATAGAGAGATAAGCTAGCTATTTGCTCGTTACTGTATTGCACGCTGTTCTTTCTTTCATATTAATAAACACTCTAATTCATAGATTCACTTGATTTTGCTGACATCAGCTGTTGACCTTCTATAACTGATTGATTCTGCTTCAACTAAATATTTTGAATTTCTTGCAGAGGGTCTCTTGGTGTGATAAGGCTCTGAATAGGAATATGCTTTTACTAAACTTGATTTCTTGATTGAGCGTATTAATTATAATGATTGTTCATTGAATCCTCTGAGGACATTGCTGAAGATGACTCGTAGTAGTATCTGACCATATCAATAGTAGATTTGTCTTTCTTTACCTGAGACTAGTCAGATTGATCATGCCTTTGTTTAATCTCACTCGTATAGTTTCTGTTAGGATCTTTTTTCATTTCAGTTTAACTCATGTTCATGGGGTTTTCGATGAAGTGAGAATGCATCCTTTCATTCTCATTAAAGATTTAAGGTGTTATCATTCTATCCTTTTAAGCAGATGTGCCTCTTCTGCTTTCAAACCTACTTTCCTCTCTTGTTGGGCTCAGGACTTGACCGTGAGTCAGTGTTTATGCTTTTTACTATATATTAGTGATTCTAGTATTTTAAGTTGGACCAAATATGGTTTGAGCATGACTTCCTCCATGAGCACCAGCACTTGATATATTTCTTTTTATCTGGAAGTTGATGGGAGCCTAGACTTTATGATTGAGTTAATCTTGTTAAGCCTATAAAATGTGATTGTCAAGGACTTGCTTAGCATGCTAGACTGATTCCTCAGCATTGGTGAGTTTAGTCTAAATATATTTAAGTCTTTTACTTGCGCTTTCCTTATCACACTTAAGCTAGGCTACGAGTACTGATAATTCTTCTATTGCTGGATTACAGAATCCTTCGTTTTGCATCTGCCTCTCCTTTCTGATTTCTTCCTTTAACTGATTAGTAATTTAATCGTAGTATTGTTGAAATTACTCAAACTCCGTGCTTCTCATAGATTTTTCATTAATTGCATCAATCTTATTTAACTCATTTTGCTATAGCTCTTGCTTATAGTTATCAATTTGGTATTCGATTTCTTAAATCTTTTCCTATAAGGATTAAATTTTGATTTCAATATCCTGATATTCTTCATTATTTGGCTGATATGTATCATCGAATTCTTATTGAATTCTATCTATCTCCTTGACTATCTCGTTGAGATATTCTTATAGCTCAGTTATAGTGCTCTCTGCCTTTAGAATTTAATCTGAAAAGTTCTACTCACTCAAATTCAATGCCTTATATCTTGGTTTCAATTCATTTTAGCATCTATTATAGGTGACTTTAATCTTTGAATCTAATTTATGCATCTATCGCTCGATCTCTTCGAGACTGTTAAGGCCCTCTTTTATTGAATCAATGTCGATATTTTGGCTTACTTGATTAAGTTTTTCAAAAAGAGAATCAGGACTTAACTCAAGCTTCATTTTTCTCTAAGCAAACTCAACAATAATATCCACAGCTTACGACAGCTATATCTTGCCTTTATTTATAAGATACTCAAGTTCTTCAAGCTCATCTGATTGCATAACACTGTTGTCAGTTGTTCCTGAACTCATTCCAAGGATGTATTATTGTAATTCTCTGATCAGATCTAGTAGTAGCGTCTTCTACTTGTCATCAATCAGTCTTTCGATTATGATATCCCAATCCTTTAAGTCCAAATTTTACTCAGCAATGAATCTTAGATCACAATTTTCATACTTGATCTTCTCCATATAGCCCTCAAGCTCTTCTCTTTGAAATACTAATTCCATTTTGTTACTTTCAGACACTGTCAAATCTTCTTGAATCATCATTCTTTCATTTTCGTTCTAGGACTTGACTTCTATCAGCATTCTCATGTTTTCTTTTAGCATCTCCAAATGCAGCTCCACTTTTTCTTTTTCATCCTTAATAGGCATGATCTTCATATCTAATTCTTAAATTCTGACTTTCTTTTGCATGTCTGCCCCCATCTGATATCCCTTCTTTTAAGCATTCAGAGCCTGTAATTCATCTTCAAACTTCTTTAAAGCCTTAGATGAGGAATCTATCTTAGCTTAATACTCCTCAATCTTAGTTACATTGATCTTTGAGAATTCTTAATACTCTCCCAATGATTGCTTATACTCTCGGTCTATTTCTCTTAGTTATTCCTTGAGATTTATAAGGACCTGCTTCTGTTTGTTCTGTTCATTCTCCAACTCTGAGTTCTTATCAGTGAATTTCTTGCTGATTCGTTCGTATTCATCTCTGTACTGCTGATATGTATTCTTTGTATCCCCGAATTCTTTCTCCTTCTCTCTCATATTATCTTCAAGCGCCAATTTTAATTAATAGGACCGATCTTTATTTATCTTAGCCATATCTACTGTGGCAAATGCCTTTAATTCTTAAGTACTTTCAAGGTTGACTTAGGCTCCATTAGCGTCTGTTATGCCCTGGGTAAGGTTGAGATTCCCACCTCTGGCTGAATTTAAGGCTGAACCGATTGAGGTCGTTGTTGCAAATAAAGATTATAAAGCTGAATTTCTGCGCTGACTTAAAGCAGCTGGCAGCTCACAGTTCATTCCAGTGATAGCAAACTTTAATTTAGGCATATGCTACTGATTCTAAGTTGGAGGTAGTTACTAGTGGGCATTGATGATGCTTCTAGAAGATGTGGGCTCATTTTAAGTGAGTCTAAGTTTGATGTTTGAATCTTCTTGGAAATTAGTATTCTGCATGTTTTGAATTTAAATTTGAATTTTATTTTCTTCAAAACTCCATATATACAAAATAATAAGAATCATGGGGTTTTGGGGTTTTGGGGTTTTGGGG